AGGCAAAGTCTCATACGTTCTTGGTAAAGTTTTTCAGAAGATGACTTAACAGCATCAACCAATGGTAAATGTAGGGAGCCTTTGACCAGTAACCACGCTTCTAGAAACCAATCCTACTCACACATGCACACAAGTAAGCTCCTGGTGGTATTATTCATAAGAACTGGGGACCATGAAATATCCAGCATAAAGAAAAGGTTGTACTGACTCCAGTGCACACTGCTGTGGAACGCTTGGCAGCCAATAAAAAAAGAATGAGGTGCAGTTATATGTGCCCCATGGAAGCTTCCCAAGACATGGTGTTCAGTGAAAAAAGCAGGTCTCAGAAGAACATGGAGAAAATAATCTCACTTACATCAAGAGAAAACAAGGAACGGACACATGTACACACGTGCGCATGGAAGTCTGTGATACAGCGATGCCAACGGAGGATTGAAGGGCTGTCCACCCCCCCGCACCCCCTCACCCCCGGCCCTCGGCGGTTACCGCCGGAAGTGAGCGGCCCCCGCGTGTTGTTTTGTGTCTTTCTGCACTGCTGCAATACATCAAGAATGCACTCCTGTATTACTCGGCCGACAGACCCACAAACAAAAAACAGGGGACAGGAGGACTGTTTTGCCCAGGAACACAAAACAAGGGAAAGGAAGACCTGGTCCAGACAGTCCTCCGGGTTCCTACCCCACACTCATTCCTCTACCGTTTCTGAATCTCCAGCTATTTCCTTTACTCACAGCCCTCGTTATAGTCACAGCCGCCGCCCTTGATCTTGGGAGTCAGGTCACCACAACTCTTAAGACACACAGACTACTCTCATGCATATTTTGCAGATGAGAAGAACAAAGCTCCAGAAAAGGAGGTTTCCGTATTGGTAATGCTGGGTCTAATCCAAAGAGAGACTTTTGTACCCCTGCATCCTGGTCCCTCACATCCACAAACCATTTAAGACACGCAGGCTGGCCTGAAAGAACTGACCTGATACTCCTCCTCGGTAAGACCCTCCGCCAGGGCGTGCTGGCGCAGCTGGTCGGGATCCTGGGCACGGAAGAGGCGGCTGAGCAGGGCATAGATGTAGGGGGCCTCCGGGGAGGTCTGCAGCAGCACAGCCAGGCCTCCGTACCAGGAGGCGCGGGACAGGTGATGGGCATAGAGGCGCTCTGTGGGTGACAGCAGGCGGAAGGCTTCGCGGCAGTCCAGGCTAGACACGCCGATGTCATTGGGCAGGATGTACTGGGTGTCCGCCATGGGCCCTGCTGAGAACCAGCACCATCATCACAGCACATCGTTTACCCCACATCAACTGCACACCTGGCTCTGTGCTCTCCTGATCTCATTTAATCCTCCCAAATCCCATAAGGAAGGAAATGCCATTGTACCCATTCACCAGATATACTAACTGAGGCTCAGAGAAGTTTAGTTGACTCACCTTAGGAGATTACAAAATACATTGGTGGGCCATATTTGGCCTGTGACCCCACAACTTTAAAGATTGAATCCAACTACCTAGCCTTACAGATGGGGAAACTGAGGCCCAGAGAGGCTAGGAGCTTTGCCTAATGACACAAGAGAAGTGTCAGAAACAGAGATCTGCGTTTTTAGATACCCAGCCCAGGTCCCTCTCTAGCTCTTCCCTCCTTCTGACCTCCTAGCCTCCTCTTCAAAATTCTCCTGCAGGTTCTTCAATTCCACTCACCACTGTGTCCACAAGTACAGAGTCCCGGGCTCCCAGCTGGAAGACTCAGATAGCAATCCTGGCTCAGCCCCAGACTCCTCAAATCAAGTCAACTGTTTCACTACTCTACGCCTCAGTTTCCGCCTCTGAAAAGGGAGGTGGTAACAACCCCAACCTCACCACGTGGGTGTGCAAATTAGACGTTACACCGAACGTAATGTACCTAGTGCAATAAATGATTTTCCTTGTGGTCTTTTCTTCTCTCACTGCGCCCAGGATTTGTCCTACTCTCAATCGGCCCCCGCATCCTCCTGCCCTCTCCCTGGGTTCGGCCCGGGGAGTTACAGGGCCACAGAAGTTCAAGGCTGGAAGAAAACTTACTCTACAGATAGGGAGGCTGAGGCTTGGTGAGACCAAGCAACTTAGGAACGTCTCACAGCCCGTGGGGACCCAGGGCATTTTCCACCCGGTCCTCCCACACTGGTAAACAGGTTTCCAGCATACCCTCACCACTTCCGAAGCTCCGCCCCAAAAACACCACCACCGGGTTCTGAAAGGGGTGTTAACTCTTTGCTGCCCGGAGCGTTCCTCAAACTCGGGGCCGCGATGACTTTAGAAGGGGTACTGGATGGGAAGAAGAAAGGAAATGATCTTGCACGCGGTCCAGAGTCGCCCTGTCCCCCGAGGATGACACATGGTGACCCGAAACCCGGGCGCCGAGCCTCACCTGCAACAGCTGCTCCGATCGCAAACTCACTTCCTGCTTCCGGCTCCCCCCATTCATTAGGGGCTCCACTAACTCCGCCCCCGCCGGCCAATTGCTGGGCCTCGGGGCCCAGATGGGCGCCAGCTTCAGCCAATAGAAGCTCAGGGGCGAGCCCCGCCGACCCTCCCGCTCCCCGCCTCCTGGCGCTACGGGGTCGCTCTGAGGTTGGCCCCTGCGGCCTTGGCCTTTTGTCCGCAGGCAGTGCTCGCGCGGAAGCGGGAGCCTCCGTGGAGGGCTTGGCCGCGGCCTAGCGCTTGCAGACCCGGCTGACAAGATCCCCTTAGTCCGGGCGGGGCGGCATGGGTGTCACAGTCGGAGCACCAGGAATTTCCCTTTCCCCTCCCCCTCACCACAGCCCCGACCCCTGCTCCTTTTTGGGGTTTTTCCCAGTCCCAGATCTCAGTTTTGCAGGTGGGAATCTGCACAATGGGAGTTGAAGTGGCTCCCCCTTCTTCATTAGATTTGACGACCAGTGGGTGGAGATCCTTTGGAGACCTCCTTGCCCGGAATCCAGGCTACAGATGAACAGGTGGCCGCCAGAGCTGAGATGGTCCCACCAGTGCCTACACCACCACCGACCCACCCACCGTGGGCCTGGAGAGTGAGTGGCAACAGCTGCCAGACATCTCCGAGCCTCAATTTTCAGCACAAAGGGTGCGGTGCCTGGCAATTTCTCAGTGCTTGCTAGGCGCCTGATGGATGAGAAAGACCTCTGCAACCCAGAAACGCTGCCCGGGGCAGACCCTGACTTGAAATGCACCCTTGCATTTCTGGACAGTCTCACGGGAGGAGTAATGTTGTGCAGAGAGGGGTGCCTGAAATTCACACCCCCTCCTTGCCAGCTTTTGCCTCACCTGTATTTAGCCCCAAAGCAACATCTGTCACCATGAGTGCCAAACGCTCATTTACAAAGGCACCCAAGCTCTGCTTTGGCCCAACAGTGCGTCTTACTGTTCGCTCTGATGGCAATTATCATTAGAGGAGGAGCTCAATAAATTGGTCTATGTCCTTGGAAATGTCACCCCTCTTCTTTCTTATGCCTCAGTTTTCACTGTCTTTGAGTATAAAATCTTCCCTGACTTCGGTGAAATTGAAACGTGCACCGGTAAAGGAGGCAGTGCTGTCCCCTGCCACCAGTGGGCAGCTCAGGCCTGTGACAGATCGCCCTACTCCTCGGAGCCCCAGCCAGGCTGCGTTTTTATGTTCACAGCTCATCCGAGCCTTCCTGAGTTCCTATACTAGCAGCTGGACATGGGAGGTCTCGTTTTATTTTTGCAAAAACCCTGAGTAAGACACCATCATTTTACCTATTGTACAGATGGGGAAACCAAGGTTAATTTGTTCATCGACCTTCCTAAGGCCACCTAGCATGTTCTCAGCTGTCCCTGAACTGGGATTCAGCCTTCCTCAGACTTCCTGCCACATCTGCTCCAGCACACACACACGGAGCAGTCCCCTCACTGGACTCACGACTGTCCCAGCCTTGTCTCTTCCCGTGGGAATGAAGAAGGGCTAGGTGAGGGAGTAACATTAAGTACCTTCTGTGTTACAGGTGCCCTCCAAATTCATAACCACCTGGTGATGGAACTTTTATTCCATTTAACAGCTGAGGAAATGGAGACTCCAAGAGCTGCAAAGGGGCAGAGCTGGGCCAGGAGCAGGGCTGTCTGACCCCCTCCACCACCACTTCTGAGTTCTCCCTGGGGTTGTGCCTGTGCCCTTTGCTCATCGCTGTTCCAGAGTCTGAGGTTCCGTGCTAGAAATGGGACCAGAATGTTCCCATCTGGTTCCCAACTGGGTCAGAAGGGAAAAAAACAAAAAACACCAGGAAGAGGTGGATTCCTAGTTCTCTCTGTGTATGTGTGTTGGGGTTGCTATGCCCCATACCCACCCCAGAACCCCCAGCCAAGCTCCCCCATAGTGGCGGTGTGATGCTCTGGAATCGACTGACCATATCCCCCTCCCACCACTCACGGGTGCCCTCTGTCCTCTCAATAGCCCCAGGCCTGGTCTCTGTGGCCCCGACCAGCTGTGTGTCCTGGGGCAGGTCCCCCCCTAGGAATCCGTACCCCCTAAGGCAGTCATCTTCCACTGGGGATGATGCCCAGGTCAGGCTTGTATTCAGAGGCTCTTCTTCAGGTTTTTATATTTTCAGAACCTCTGTTTACCTGTCTTCCTAGCTCACTTTTCCCAGGAGTGGTCTGGGGGCAACCCGGGCAGCACCCTGAGCTTGCCTGGGCTCTCAGGGGGAGATGACACTTTGTCAAGATGCATAAGGAGCCAGGTCAGACTTGGCCTACATGGCAACCAGAGCCCACCAAGCCAGCTCCAAGGAAAGCAGCACAATGTAATGAAGAGGCCAGCAGGTAGCTGTGGATGCGAATCTGCCTTGGCCGATTTCTAGCAGTGGGACTCGGAGCATGTGCTTTAATCTCCCCATAAGCAGAAACAGTAACACCTCCCTCCCTGGGTTCCTATGAGGATTAAATAACCAAACCTCCGAGAAGCAGAGCTCAGTGTCTAGTGAGTGCTCAATGAACATAGTTATTATTATCATTAGCACAGTGTGGGGCACATAGTGGGCGTTCAGGAATGGTAGCCCTTGTATCACAGCCAAAGTTCTGGAATTGCGAGTCCTCTCTTCCCGCTCGGCTCCTGACTGTCCACAAATGAGGTTCCGAAGCCTCCATCCAGCATCTTCTCTGCCAGCACAGCCCCAGCCCCTTGCCCCAGCCGCCTTCCTGCCCTCCTGCCGCCCCTGCTCCAGCCACCGGAACCCCACTCGGTTCCCTGCTTACTTACCTCGGAGCCCGTGCTCCGCCTCTCCCTTCTGCCCGCAGCGCCCTCCCCTTCCCGTGGGGGATTTCACCGAAGCTGAGCTCCCGTGCTGCCTCCCCCCTGAACCCTTCCTCATTTTCCCACCTACCAGTGAGACCCGCACCGCAGCCCCTGGCAATGTCTCTGATCCTGGCACACAGGAAGTCATACTGTCATTTGGTAATTTGGTCTGTCGTCCACTAGGCTGTGAACTCTACCAGGCAGGGAACCGGGGCTGATTGTTTTCGTGTCCCCAGCGCCCGCTTGGCATGGAGTCCAGCCCACAGAGGGTATAAGCGGATGCTGGTCCCAGCCTGCCACCCACCTGTAACTGACTCAGGGGCTGGAGGCACTGCACACATGCGGGACATGTGGGATTGGCGAGGGCAGCTGAGCAGCAAGGTTTATAGAGGACCTCAGGGCAGCAGCAGGGTGAATATCTGAAACTGGGTCGGCAGGCTCAGGGCGCAGCCAGCCTAAACTAGGGGTCAGGGGCCCAGGGCTCCTTCACTCCCCCAGGGGCACAGTGTCAGCGGCATGATGTGAGACACCCCAGGAAAGTCCAGAGCATGGGGCTGGGCTCCCCTCCGTCAGGCCAGGACAGAGCTGGTGCTGAGGACCCCATCATTCTGACTGGGGTAGGGGTCTCGCAGACACCTTTAGGGGCCAGAGTTAAAAGGGGAGGGGCACAGCCCATCCAATGCGTCCATCTGGCGTGGCTACATGCCAGAAGGTAGAGTCCCACATGCAGAGCTCCCTCTAGGCTGCAGGAGGTGGGGGACCTGGGTGGGCAGGCGGGTGCAGCAGCAGGGGGCCCTGGGGAGCCTAGTCCAATGGCCCCTGGAAAATGAGGCGGACGCAGCCATGCTCGCCGGTGAGCCAGGCCCCACAGAAGGGGCAGGCGGCGTGGAAAGCGTGGGTGCCGTGAGGCAGCGGTGTCTGGGCCCAGTAGCGGGCAGTCTTCTCCGAGCAGACGTGGCCGCAGGGTGCAAAGGCATGGCTGGGCGGCCCGGGGTCCAGGCAGAGGCCGGCCTCCTGGCCCAGCCACAGGGGCACGTAGGGCCCCACAAGACGGCAGAGAGGACACTCGCGCTCCTGGGGGCCCCGCTCTCGCCGACAGCCCCAGCCATGGTAGCCGTGGACATGGCCGCAACGAACGTAGACCCAGGGCTGCTGCTTGTCAGGTGCTGTGCGGCCACGGGCGGGACTGGGGAAGGCCAGAGTGCTGAGGCCCACTGGGCACTGGGGCCGCGCTGCGTTCGCCTCCTGCCGCTGGGCCTCCAGCTGCTTCAGCGTCGGTGCCCGCAGCAGCCCTGCTGGCGTGCGCCACAGCAGCGTGGCCCCACACAGGTCGATGAGGGAGCCGTCCTGCAGCACGTTGGACTCATTTTCCACCTGCCAGGGGAACAGAAAGGACTTATTGCCCAAGAGGCCCCTAAGCCCCTCCTATCAGGCACCACCTCTCCAGCCTAGCCACCCATCCATTCCACTGAACGTCCCTGAAGAGGGAGCCCTGGACCCTCAGGGCAGGCTGGGGCAGAGGGGGGCATGGCTGGGGCAGGACTGGGGACTAGGCCAAAAAAGGGGAGGGCTGGGGCCGAGGAGCGGGGAGGACCAAGAAGCCACGTGGGAGGGCAGGCAGGTGCTCCCAGGCACACAGGGTCCCTCACTCTCAGAAGAGTGTGGGCCTTGGTCACCTCACCTGTCAAATCAGGAGGTCTGGACTTAAATGAAGTTTCTCTAAAATGTTTTCCTAGGCTCTTCCCTAATGGCAGGGCAGGAACCTCTATCTGAAACACTGGGGACTGAGGCCAAAGCAGCTGTCCCCCAGGGCTGTGGCTGAAGCACGAACTCCAGAGCTAGACGGCCTGCAGGTGAATTCCAGCCCCGCTGCTTATTAAATCTGTGTCCCCAGCGCCTCAGCCTCTGCGTCTTCACTCCCTTATCCTCCAGATGGATTCCACTTTCCTGTAGCCAATGCTTCTCATGAGTCAATCAAAGTAAATTTGGAACGTACCTGGAACTTAGTGTACACTAGTCCTGTACGCTTAGTGAAACATTCGTGGGGATAATTTTTTAAAATAATATTTCCCCAAATCTCCCAGTAGAATTGATGCTCTGGAAAGACAAGCCATGTTTTCCTTGCAGTTTTGCGTCTGCTTGCCTAACACATTCATACCCAGAAAGGGCTCTGCGTTGCCCATTTGAGGGACTTGGCCACACGACTTTAAGCAAGCCCCTACCTCTCTCTAGGACCCTCTCCCAGCTCCTAACATTAGTTCTCTGATCTGTACCATTCACTGTCACCTGTGGAGCATTCACTGTCACCTGTGTCGGAACTACTCCATGGACGCTTTCCCACTGGGAGGGGATAATAAAGCGAAGCCCGTCTGAATGTGACAGACACTTTACAAACTGCCAACGCTTTAGGCTGTAAGCTGCTCACACATAGGCCAAGTGTCACCCTCATAAGAGGGTGTGATTTTTTTTAGGCTGCCAGCATCCCGTACGCCATTTAGTGCTGCATGGTGTGTTTGTGGGTGCTCTGCTTCCTATTACCCCATGGGCCTCCAACAGGGATGATACTTGGGGACACTAGTCTGGTCCCCTCCATGCAGCAAGTGGCACGTGCCCCCAGATGGAGCCTGTTGGGGCACCCTGGTGAAGGAGGGCTGGAGATCATCTCCTGGCTTATGCAGGGGGGCGGGCATATGTAGGGGTCCTGGGAAGGAGAACTGGGTGGGGAGGAAGGGATGGCGCAGACCGCCTACCAGCTTCCCCCGCTGCTGTGCTGAGCGGCTGTCCCTCAGAGTATAGACGTTCCCACAGACGGAGATCTCTCGCCAGACGCCTGGCGCCGAGTCCTCGGAGAAGCCGCCCGCAGGGTGCATCACCAGGACCCCATTGGTGGTTAAGCCGTCCATCAGGCCGTCGGGGGTCCGCCATTTGGCTGCCCGCTCCTGGGACCACATGTGGGATCAGACCACACTGCCAAGGGGCCCCCAGCTGGTCATGAGCCAGGGGTGCTGCCCCTCTACCCTCGAGGTCAGAGGTGGCCCAGAGAGGGCTAAAATTGGCACTGCGGACCTTGGGCATCATCTGACCTCTCTGAACCTCACCTCGCTCACTTGTTAAGTGGGGTGCAAATCCCTGCATAGGTCAGTTATGATTACTGTGGGCTGGTCCGTCCCCCGCCATGTTGCCCTTCCCCGGCCTACCCCTCAGCTCACTCTCGGATGAAGCGCGGGTCCCTGCCTGGGGGCTCACTCACTCCAAGGAAGATGTTGCTGGAGGCATCGAAGCCAGCGGCATAGATGCGGGCAGTGTAGGGTGGCCGGCGGTCGCACAGGATGCGGCAGGCATAGCGGGAGATGGTGCTCTGGGCGGAGGGGCCTTCAGCCGCCCCTCCTCCAGGGGATGTGTCTGTTACCACAAAGTCAATCATGTTCTCTGTGGAGCGGCCGATCTGTGAGGAGGGGGAGGGCAGGCACGGGGTGCTGTGTTACAGGTCAGTCCCACGGTTCCTACCCCAGGGTTCCTGGCAGCTGCTCTGTGTGCAGTCACCAAACAAGGGGGCAGCACCATCCCAAGCACCCGGGTGGCTCCAAGTCCAAAGGCCAAGGTCCGGGCTTCTTCTTCATCTTCCCCAAAGGTCTGGGGAGGACCCCACTCAATAAAAACTAGTAGATCTGCTGATTGAACAGGGAAAGGGTGATACCCGAGGTCTGGGAGTGGTCACATATCAGCAGCAAAGAGTGAATTTTTAGTGTTTACTGTCTGTCAGGCACCATGCTATGCATTTTATGCTCAATATCTCAGTTAAGCTTCCCAGCAATTCCATGTGTAGGTACTACTCGGGGCCCCACCAGAGCAATGAGATAACCAAGGCCTAGAGAGGTTAGGTGACTCTTGCCCAAGGTCACCCAGCGAGTAAGCAATGGAGCTGCAGTCTGAACCCTGGAGGTGCGACTCTCACACCGCCCTCTGCACCCCTACACTGCATGCCCTCCCACAGCTGGGGAGCCCTGCCTGGGGTTTGAATCCTGATACAGCTGCTACTTGCTGCACGACTCCGGGAAGCCAACAGCCCCCGCTGGGATGTGCTGCTTCCTCATGTGAAGTGGTCGGCTGCACTGCGGGCCCCGAAGCACCTTCCCCACGGCTTTAGTCCTCCAGTCGCACCCTGGAAGGCCTGCGGAGCTGAGCATTGAGCCGGGTGGCCAGGGGGCCTGTGGAGGGACCCAAGCATACCTGGAACATGTCTGTGTCACTGTCATGTGTGTACTCAACTATGACCGAATGGCTCCGGGACAGTGTGTACGAGATGCTGTGCTGGCCCCGGTTACTCAGTGCCTGGTGGGGAGAAAGGGGAAGTTACTTCCCAGAGCGTGTGGCCATGAGAAGTGTGAGCCTTTGACCTAGAAGCTGGAGCCCGAGGCCAGCAGCCACTCCCGGGGAAGGATGGCTCCCCCCTTTGTGGAGGATGTCGGTGCAGCCGGCACTCTGTACGTGTTACCTCATTTGCTCCCTTCAGCCACCCCAGCAAGGAGGCGTGGTTCTCATCTGCATTTTGCAGCTGAAGGAACTGCATGCAGCTCAGAGAGGAGAAGAAACTGGCCTAAAGTCGCAGAGCTGGAAATAGCAGAGCTCCAATTCTAACCCAAAGGCTTTTTCTTTGTCATTGCTGTGTGACTGTCACATCCCCTCTCTGAGTCCTGACTGCCTCTAACATGATGCTGATCATTTCCATCCAATGGATGGGGTCTGGTGGCCAAGGAAATGTTTTGCAAACTGCAAAGGACTGTGCACACTGCAAAGGCTCTCCATCAGCGCCACGTCTCTGGCAGCCCAAGAGGCAGTGAGCATAGACACAGTGGGCTCCCCGGCTCCAGCGGGGCTTGGGCAGGGAGGGCAGGGCCAGCGGCCAGGTGCTGGGCTGGGCTGCTTGCCTTGGAGACGAGTGGCGTGGAGATATGGTGCATGACGTCTGGCTTCACTCCGTTGGCATGTGGCCGGCGGCTCAGTGCCAGGCGACTTCGCCGGCGGCCCTTGTCCCCGTTTGACAGACATCCATTGTAGCTGTGGATATGGGCAGTTAAGAAGAAAAGGTTGAAGGGACAGAGAGAGAACGTGAGGCCTTGAAAGACTAGAAGGAACTGCCAACTTCTGGGCAGATCCTACCTTGATAAGCAAGCCCTTAGAACCACCCCAAAACAGAAGACCCTACTACATATCAAATCGGTGCCTTTAGGAAGCAGGCTGGGGTCAGAACCTCTTCAAAAGGACTTTTGTTCAATTAATCAGAGTTTCCTGAACCCCTGAGCTATGCCCAGCCAGGTGCTGGGCGCTGGGGTGATGTAAGCGATGTACCACAGGTCAGTTCTGTGCCTCCTGGTAGGGGAAGGAGGTCCTCAGCTTTTCAAGGAAACCAGGTGTCACCTGCCATGACCCGGGAACAAGACAAGTGCACTACAGGCCTAGAGGCAGGAGAAGGGAATTCTGGCCCCCAGATCAGGTTTCTAGGAGAGGGAACACCCATACTGGGCCTTGAAGAACTGGAAAGGAGTCACCTTTAGCAAATTGCCATTTATTACATCACAAGTACTACTGGAAACCAGAATGACAGAAAAAAAAATAATAAACCCACAACGCCACAACCTCCACATATCCATTTGCATTGAAATTCTACCTTCCTTTCCAGCTCTTGTCCAGAGGGAATGGGGTGCAAGGCAAAGGTGGGGAGAGTCCCAGGCTTGATCGCTGTCACGCACCGGAGCCTCCCGTTGCGCCCCGTACTTCGCATTATCAGTTACCTAACGGAATCTGTGCAACGTCCTGCCGGGCCAGTGTCTTTCTTCCCACTTTACGAATGAGGAAAATTGAGGCTCAGGGAGGTAAAATGACTTGCCTGAGGTCCCAGGCTAGTAAGTTAGAAAGTCTAGATTTGAACTCGGGTCTGCCCGACCCCAGCCTCTCTTGCAGAAGCCATTTTAAGAGGGAGGGCTCACCCTGAGCACAGCCCCGAGGCTGGCAGAGTCTGAGATCAGGGAAGGCTGACTCAGGTGGTAAAGTGCAATAGGAGAAGATGAGGTGGGTGGAACGGCCCTGGAAACCAGGCTGAGAAGTCTGACTTTATTCTATAAGCAGTGCAGAGCGACGGAAGATCTGACAGGGTGAAGAGCTGCCAAATACAGCCGGGGAACACTTGAATCAGAATCTTTTGGTGAGCTGGTCAAAACACAGATTCGCTGGCCCCTCCCGTGGACGTTCTGATTCTGCAGCTTTGGGATGGGTCTGTCACTGGGCACTTTCAGTGAGCTCTCCAGGTGGCTCTGATGTACGGACAGTGTGGGCTTCACGGCTCTGCAGAGAACCACCAGCTGGCCCTTGGGCCTTCACTGTCCCCCATCAGTGGCCTCACTCTCAGCTGCAAAGCCAGCTCTGCCTTTGGGACACCAAGCAGCTGCTATTCTTATGCAAACAACTCTTAGAGAGACATCACTCTTGCTCTTGTAAGTTCTTTCCACGCGTGGGGGTGGGGCAGTTCAGGACACGGGCCTGGCCGAAATCATGCTTGTCCATTTCTTAGGTGACCTCCATAGAATGGGGCTAACCTACCAGGACCTATCTCATGGATTCATTGTGAGAACTAAATGAGATAAAGCATTTAAAAATGGTTGGCATAGAGTGCGGCATATATATATATATATATATATATATATATATATATCAAAACCTGGATAAATGTTAGCTATTATTATTATTATTATTATTATTACTTTTTTATCCTCACCTGAGGACATTTTTTCATTGTTTTTAGAGAAGGAGAAAGAGAGAGAGGGAGAGAGAAGGAGGGGGAGAGAGAGAGAGGGAGGGAGAAACACTCATTGCCTTCTTGTGTGCGCCCCAACAGGGGATCAGACCACAACCTGGGTATGTGCCCTGACTGGGAATGGAACCCATGACCTTCCTGTCCATGGGATGAAGCTCCAACCAACTGTGCCATGCTGGCCGGGACATGTCAACAAGCAGCAGCCATTATTATTTCTACAAAATCATCATAATGACAACATAGCCTATCAGATATTTCCTTCCGGGCAGACGGCAGAGGGAAAGGTCAAAAGGAGCGATGGATGGGGCCAGAAGAGGGATCTGTGCCTGGGGGAAGTGCGAAGTGGGCGTCGCAGGGATCCCGTCAGGCAGAGACAAGGAAGGGACGAGGTCTACCCGGCCACCAACTCACAGTGCTTCCTCTCAGCCAGCCTCAGTGTGCTCATCTGCAGCATGAGGGTCAGCTGTGGCTTAGGGAAAGTGCGCTAGACCTACAGTAAGAAAGACCTGGGTCCAAATCCCAGCCCTGCCACTTACCAGCTGTGTGCCCTTGGACCAGTCACTTCCCCTCTCTGAGCCTCGGTTTCCTCACCTCCTTCCTCACAGCATCTTTGTGAAGATTGAAATGAAATAATGTCCATGAAAGGGCTTGGCACAGTCCTGCCTCCCAGAACGCTTGATACGTGCCAGGCACTGTTCTATGTGTTTACAGAAATCACCTTGTTCATTCCTTCCAAAAACCCTCTGAGGTATCATCATCATCCCCATTTGTAAAAGGGGAAAACGGAGGCACAGGGAAGTTAAACAACTGGCAGAGGCAGGATTTGAACCAAGCAATTTTGATGGAGAACCAGAGTTCTTAATCTCAAACCACACACACACACTAGGTGCTTTATGAAAGGCCGTGGTGTTACTGTTTTCTGATCAGACACTTAAGTGGGCAATTAAGAGTTCTCTCGGTAATTTATGAAAAATAGGAAGATAAAAATAACAAGTATGAATCAAGGAGGGTTTGGTTAATTCTGTCTCTCAGCTGGGAAGGTAAGGAGGGACAAAGAGCAGAAGAAGGCAGAGAGAACTGGGGGCCTTGGTCTGGTTGCCCTGCGGGGTGCCTGGTGCCCCACCCCACCTGGACTAGGGATGCTCACCCCAGGACGATGAGTTCACCATACTTGATGGGTTCCTCGCCTGGCTGTGCATCTTCACCAGGAGAAGAGAGGACGCAAGAGCCCTGGTTCCCAGGGTGCTGGAGGTCTGAGGTTCGGGGGGACCCCACTTCAGGGTTTCCTTCCAGCACCATTCTGGGCAAAATGGGAGAGGGAAAAGGATTTTGCAGCCTCCCATCCCAACCCTCCTCAGTGCTGGCTCTGGCCTGCTGCAGGGCCACCTAGGCTAAGGCCAGAATGACCTTTCACCGCCTTTGTTGCTATGGCAACCACTTCACCTCTGCCTCTCCTAAACTGCCCTGGGTTGCTGGGATACCAGGGAAGGAAGTTGATAGGTGGGATGGAACCAAGAGGGAGAAGCCACACAGGAGGGTCAGACAATTTGGTGGGGCCAGAGGAATGAACCAACTTGGGGTGGCCAGAGGCTTCTTTTTGGCCGCGACCCCAGTCTGGGATGTTCTTGGAAGAGGGGCACCCTAGGAGTTGGAGGCCCTTACTCCTTATCTTAGACTCAGTTCCTGGGTTTAGCTGTCAGCCACAGGACCTCTAAGTAACCCTTTTGTCAGGTTCTTGGAATTTGTCTGTCCTTAATCTTTCTGCCCCTTTTTGCAGGTCTGGCCTCTGTCTCTATTCTCAATGACTCTCCGCCCTCCCCGCCTCTGTCTTTTTCCTCATCTTTCTTCCCACCTTCTCCCCCATCTCCCCTTGTCTGGCCACCTCCACCTTCCTATCCATCTGCCTCAGTCTCCGCTTCTTGCCCCTGTCCTGCAGGCAGGCCTCTGGGCCCCTCCCGGGTGCGCGCCCCTTTCCTCCCTCAGGTGTCTGTCTGCAGTCCCCGGGCTGCCCGGGTCTCTGGAGGCCTGTTGGGGCGGTGCTCCCCCCTCCAGCTCCGGCTGCAGTATAACCCATCTCCGCAGGAAGCCTGTTTGGAAATCCCCGCGCAAGAGGGGCTGCGCTAGGGCAGGCCCGCGCCCCGCGCCCGGGGCAGGCACAATGACGGCCCAGCGCATACGCAGATACACACCCGGCGGCCCCTCGACACAAACACGCGCGTGCACGCACAGTCCCGCACAGCCCAAGCCCCGCGAGCAGTGCCAGGACGGGTGCAAAGCCCACCCTGGCTCTTCAACAGCAGGCGTTAGCGCCCAAACAAGCCTCTGGCGCCCGCCCTCGAGCCCACTCCCCTTGCCACCCCCAAACACGCAAACACGCCCCCCGCGCCCGCCAGGGCCCGCCCGACGCAGCCCCCGCCCCGTCCGCCCCGGCGGCCTCACCTGGCCGCGCTCCGCGATCCGCTCGGCGCTGCTCCCTCCGCGCCTCGCCCCTGCTCGGCCCCGGAGCCGCTGCGGCGGGATGGGCCCGGCCCGCGGCGGCTCCGCGTTGCCTCGTCACGGGGACACCCGGGGCTGAGGGAGGGGGGACGAGCACTAACCTCCACGCTCCACCCTCTGTCCCGCTGCCCCGCCCCTCTGGCCCCGCCTCCAGGGGAGCCCCGCCCCACACTAGACTCCACCCCCTTGCGGCGAAGCTTAACCCTAATGGTCTGAGCTCCGCCCCTCTGGGAAGACCACGCCCTTATACCGACTCCGCCCTCGACACTGGAAGCCCCACCCACCGCTGTCTCAGAAAGTCGGGCGACTGCGGTTGCGGATTCGGGGGCTTCTGGATATCCAAGTTTGTGCTCCACAGATCCCGCATTCATTTACAGGGACTTCCCGGGTTCTCCCAGAGGCCCACTATCCTCCACCGCAGTCTAGGGCCTTCGCGCGCGGCAGGAGGCCCCTTTCCCCACCTTAGGCCGGGGACTCTCCACCTGCCGTCGGAGACCCGGCCTTCCACGTGGGGAACCCGCAGGATTAGAGGAGAGAGGGGAGCGGGAAGGAGAGTGAGAAAGAAAACACTAGAGGAGGCGTAGGAGTGGGTGTGCGTCAGCAGGGAGGCCGCGGAAAGCCGATGCATTTGAAGGGAGTCGCCACCTTCCAGCCCAACGAGGCCCCTTTCTTGCTGGTTGACCTCTGGCTGGTTCTGGGGCCTCTGGTGGCCAGGAACACCTCCCTCCCGCCCGCCAGCACGTACACATCACGCGAGATGGAGATGCCACAAAGGGGACGGAAAGCTCTGAGGGTGTGCAACCCCTTCCGAACCTGGGCTTCCGAGGTAGCTCATCTGTCAGTCTGTGCCAGGTGCTATCCACTATATTTTGAGCAAAATAAGCCTTTTAATTGATCTGATAATCGTCCATTTTACAGATGAGAAAACAGATTTACAACCTGACTCGGTCATGGTTAATACGCTAGAAAGGAGCCAAAAGTGGGCCTCAGCTATGTGACTCCAAAGTCTGGACTTCTAACTTGCTTACCTTGTGGTGACTAGGAACGGCAGGGTGGGGCTCCGAAGCGCTGAGCAGGAGAGACGCAGGGGTGCGTCAGACAAGATCCACATCCGGGGTGTCCAACCTTTTGGTGTCTCTGGGACACGCTGGAAGAAGAGTTCTTTTTTGGGGCCACGCATTAAATACATTGTGACGTATAATCACAAAAAAATCTCATACTGTTTTAAGTAAATTAATGATTTTTGTCTTGGGCCGCATTTATAGCCAACCCGAGCCTCATGAGGCCCGCAGGCCCCAGGTTGGACACCCCCATGTAAGTCATTATCTCTTGGTCTGTTTGGAGCCGTAATCAAGAGCTGGGGGAAGCTCAGAGGATGAATTCTTAACCTGCATCTTTGGAGTGAGTGTGTGTTCTACTGAGGGAATCGAGGAAGATTGCACAGAGGAGAAAACCTTCGGGCCCCGGTCATGAAGGACAAGTGAGCTTGCCCACAGCTTCCTGAGAGGGAGAATCCTTCCCCCCACCCCCAACTTGTTGCTTGTAAAGCTCCCAGTCTCTGAGACCCCCTCGGCCCCACCACATCCACTCACCCCACTAACTCCCCCACCTAAAAATAGTCCAGGATACCAACTGCTTTGCCAGCTGTTCTGGGGCCCCATCAGTCAGATGAAACAAGAAAGCTGCCGACAGCAAGTCCTTTAGGGACACAGGCACTCATTAATCAAAGAGAAACTCCCTGAGAGGCGACCGCTGAGCAGGCTGGACTGCTGGGCTGCCGGCAGCAGGTCACACAAATCCAGCGCCACCAGACGGCTTCCATCCCTGGAGACCTACAGCATGTCCTCTTCCATGCCAGGCATGCCCAGCCACGTTAGGACACGGTCACTAGGACGGTCTCACTCCCTTGTGCACTCCCCGCTTCTGGCACTTTGCCCACCAGAGCAGACCCTGAGCGAACATGCGCTGAATTACTACTAGGTACCTCAGTTTACAAATGAGAAAAATGAGGCCTTTTTCCCCCCCTTTTTTTTTGGCAGTGGAGAGATACTTGTCCTGGATCACACAGCAAGGCAAGTGTGGAGTGAGGTTTGACTGGAGCCCAGGGCTGCCGCCTGGCACTAGACTATGGAGAGGCAAGGCTAAGGGTAGTTTCTCCCGCGGCGGAGCGCTGGGATCCGCTGGGACCAGAGCTGCGGGGTGAGCACAGCCAGGCCCTTAGGGCCCAGGAGCTGCTGTGGGTCTCATCCCAGCAGCGCCCAGATGGGGGAGAAGGAGGGGGTGTTGGGACACCAAGCGTCCAAGCTTCAGCCTTGGTCTCCGGCTCTTAGTCCCATGTTCTGTGCCAAGAAATTTACCTTCTAAATCTCTCTCATCTCAGTTTCCTTATTTATAAAATGGGAATAATGATGATGATGATGATGATGATGATGCACACATGGTGTGGCTCAGTGGATGGAGCGCCAACCTGCAAACCAAAGGATCACCGGTTCAATTCCCAGTCAGGGCACATGCCTGGGTTGCAGAACAGGTCCCTGGTGGGGGGTCCGTAAGAGGCAGCCACGCGCTGATATTTCTCTCCCTCTCTTTCTCTCTCCCTTCCCTTCTGTCTAAAAATAAATAGATAAAATCTTTAAAAATAATAATAATATCTACCTGTAGTGGGATAAACATTTATAACATTGTTCTGAAATCTCTTTGTTCAGCGTCGCCCTTCTCTCTCCTCAATCTAGATCTTGACCCTATTGCTTCAAAAAAAAAAAAAAGTGGGGGACAAAAAAAGGAAGAAGACACAACCTTTATTTCTTTCATTCTTGGGTTCAGGTGCCTAGAAACGAAGGGCTGGCATAAAATTTGGAAGGATATTTGTGTATGTGTTTGAGAAAGGATGTTGAAAAACAAAACAAATTAAAAACAACAACGGCAAACTCTTTCTGTGCTCAGAGATTCGGAGAGGAGAGAAGAAAGAGCTAAGGTGCCGGACTCAGCCTTGTTGTAGGAGGGAGGGTGGGGCTGGGGATCTGGGGATCCAAACCTCATTCCCTCAGAGTCCGAATTTGATTGCATCAATTTGTGAAGCATTTTATGTCCCAGAACACTGTTGAAAACAATAAAGAAATCAGCTGGCAATGAGTGGAACTTAACAATGGGTGTGGTCAGGGAAGGAGCCAGCCAAGGAGGGCCTTGCCCAAACCACCGTCATCCCGGGGTGACCGCGGGCATACCCAAGGCGACATCCCTTGAAGACCAAGGACAGAGAACAGTGGAATGGACTTCACTGAAATAATCCAGCCAGTCACTAAACAAGCCCTGGGTCGGGGGGGCGGGGGGCGGATAAGACCCTTGGGGAGGGGCTATGACCAGTATTGAGTTACTACAATTTATTATCTAAAATCTTCAGTTTTCATAAAAAAATTATGTCATGCGAGGAAGTGAGAAAGGATGACCTGCAGACCGGGGAAAGAAGCAGGCAGCTATCGTCAGGATGTGGGAAAATCGGCACCCGCATGCACTGCTGTGGGCCTGTAAAATGGCGTGGCCACCTGCGAGAATTGTCTGGCAGTGCCTCCTACAAATAAAGTTACTAGGGGACCCAAAAAGTTCACCCCTAGGTGTATCCCCAGAGAAATGAAAACATGTCCACACAAAAACCCGTACACAGTATTCAGGGCTGCATTGTCCGTAATAGTTAAAAGATGGAAACAACCCAAATGTCCATTAATTGTTGAAGGGATAAATAAAATGTAGCATATCTATACAATGGAATATGATTCAGTCATAAAAAGAAACAAACTACTGATACATGCTACAACCTTGAAAACATTGTGGATGAATCTTGAAAACATTAAGCTAAGTGAAAGAAGTCAGTCACAAAAGACCACATGTTACATGACTCACTTTATAGGAAATGTAAGAATAGGAAAATCTAGAGACAAATAGAGTAGGGCTGGGGTGAATGGCAGAATGAAGGGTGACACTTTTTCAGGTGATGAAAATGCCCCAAAATTCACTGGAGTGGTGATTACACATATCCGTGAAGATACTAAAAACCACTAAACTGTACACTTTAAGTGAGTGAGTTGTATGACATGTGAATTATATCTCAAAACGGCTCTGTAAAATATATATGTGTATATATATATATATATATGTATATATATAACAAAGAGCTAAGAAAAAAAAAAGCCAAACACATACAATGACATTATGCTGTATGAGTCCCCTGATATAAAGTTCAGAAATGGCCCAAACTAAGCTATATTGGTTCATGATGCACACATAGGTGGTAAAAATGAAGAAAGGCAGGGAAGTCAATAGCATAAAAATCAGGTCGGGGGTTGTAATAGAGAAGAAGCACTTGGAGACTCTTAGGGTGCTGTCCAAGGTGCTGCTCAGTTTCTTGACTAAGTGGAACTTGGGTGCTCATTTTGTAATAGTGTGTTAAGCTGCACATTTATGTTGTATGAGCTTTCTGTTTGTTTATAATATTTCATAATGAGAAGAATGTTAAAAATACAATGAGCTGGTTCAATCGAGCTCTCACACTGCAATTTGAATGAGTAAGGGTTTGTTCCAGGTAAAAGGGCAGGAGGTAGAGGGGGCTGGTGAAGCCGTGACAGCCATGGCCAGAGTGAGTGACAGGGGGCAGAACCAAGGGGAGCTGAGGAAGCCAGGGAGAATAAATAGGGTGGCAGGGCAGGTGCACAGAGAGAAGCAAAAGCCATGGGAGGGGCTAGAAAGACTCCCTAGAGCTTCAAATCCAGATAGCCTCTGGTTTGTTCCTTTACACATTCATCAACAATGCTATCAAATACCTACTTTGGGCCATCCCAGTGAACCTGCTTCTCCCTAGCCCCAAAGATGCGTCCCTGCCAATCACGTTTATCTCTGTAACATAATCCCCTGGTCACAGCAGAAAGAAGGGGCGTGCCAACCTGACCCAGGCTGGGCCAACCGCATTCCATCTGTTGGGAGTTTGGAGTGGAAATTCAGAGATGGCCATGTGTAAGTAAAGGGTGGGGAGTGTGGAGGACCCAAAGATAGATCATACCCAGCCTGGCTTG